TTGGACTTCCTCCAAGTTCTTCCTAGGTCCGCCTCTTTTCTTCTACTTACTCCTGAAGGGAATCAGTCTCCCTTCCCTTCCTCCAGATTTAAATTCCACATTGTTGGTGGTTACCATATTTATAGCACCAGCTGAGATCTCTTTTCAGAGTGCTAGATGCAGGTGCCTACCCAAAACCTCCATTTGGATGCTCATAGATGTCACTTATATAACAAAAAAAAATTTTTTTTACAAACTTTTTTTTTGTGCAGCAGGGTCTGGCTCTGTAATCTAGGCTGGCCTTGAACTCAGAGAAGGAGGAATATAGGTGTGCTCAGTCACACCGACTCCTTTTTTTGTTTTTTTGGGTTTTTTTGTTTTTTGTTTTTTGTTTTTTTTTTTTTGCAGTACTAGAAATGGGGTGTTGCATGTGCTAGGCAAGTGCTCTGCCACCAAGTTATGCCCCCAGCCTACAAATATTTTTATGATAGTTTTATTGAGGGGGCTGGGGATTTAGCTCAGCGGCACAGCGCCTGCCTGGCAAGTGCGAGGTCGTGAGTTCGATTCCCGGTACCAGAAAAAAAAAAAAAACAACAACAACAAAATAAAAACAAACAAGATAGTTTTATTGAAATAGGACTTACATATTATAAAATTTATTCTAAAGGTGAATAATTCAGTGATTTTTAGTATATTGAGATGTGTACCGCCATCGTTATGAGTTTTAAAACATTACCCCTTTGCCAGGCATGGTGATGCATGCCTTTAATCCCAGCACTTGAGAGACTGAGGCAGGAGGATCGCTATTGAGTTGAAGATCAGCCTGGGCTACATAGTGAGACCCTGTATCAAAACAAAATCTCATACCTGTTAGTAGTCATTACAACTTCCCCTGCCCTTGGCAACCAGACATTTCCCATATCATTCCTTATTCCAACCAAATAATATTTTGTTGGATCAGTAATACTAGACTTGATGATACAAACATTTTTGCTGAACCCATGGAAAGTTTGAAGCAACAGAATGTGAAAATAAAGTGATATCGTGTAAAATCTGGACTGATATACCATTAGAAAAAAATGTGAGCCTGTAGTCAGTGTTGGGTGTGGGGGGTGTGTAGGGGGGTGGTAACACTGGGGATTGAACCCAGGGCCTTAGCACTGAGCTACATCCCCAGCCCATTTTACTTTGAAACAAGGTTTTGCTGAATTGTCCAGACTGGGCTTAAATTTGCACTCTTCCTGCCTCAACTTCCGAGAATTCTGGGATTACAGGTATGTATCACCATTCCTTGCTTATAGTCATTTTGAACTTTCTGTAAAATCTCAAGCACATTCAGTGATACTTAACTTTTGGAAAGATAAGGTATTTTATTTTCATGTGATTTAGCTGCATCTATTTGTCCATTTAAAAGGCTTTGTAGGTTCCATTTTGTATAAAATAGTTCTGTTTTTCTAGAACAATGGATTTAATTCCTAGGTCATATTTTAATAATTTTTCTTTTCAAAGTTCGAAATAAGGCATCATCATTTTCAGTGAAAAATGTCTTTGTGTTTAAATGACATTATTGAATTATATTACAAAATACCAAACTGTTAAGAGACAGAATTGTGTTTTCCTCATACTTAGAGGCTTAGTATTTATAAATATGTGAAAGCACTAAACATATACTTAGAAGATCTGTGCATAAAATTGTATTTATTTGAATGAGAACATCTAAATCACTGGCATCATTAAAATGTTACTTTTAATTAGCATAACAGACATTAATCTTTATTAAGAAATAGAGTGATTTTCTAAAACCATTTAAGAGTTTCCCAAAATGGATCAGTGGTTTTCTTTGCCATGAGAAAACATTTATAAAGAAGTAATAAACGAGTTTTTAAAATTTTAGTAACTTCAAAGGGAAGTTTTTTTACTATGAATAAGATAAGAGATTATAGAATTTTTGGTTCTAAAAGTCATAAACTATTGATGAAGAATATAAAATCTGATTAAAGTAGTATGAAGTTGGTTTTTCTCTGTTATTAAATGAGTTATTAATGTAAGAATTTAAGGCTGGACATCATGTCATACACCTGTAATCTTAGGAGTTGGAGGGGTGAGGCAGGAGAATTGTGAGTTTGAGGCTAGCCTGGACTATATAGCAAGACCCATCCCCCCAAAATAAAATCTATACAGAGAATTTTAAAACATGAGGTACTTCGATAGGTGCCGTATTATACTTCCATTATCTGGGTGTAGTGGTGCACACCTGTAATCTCAGCACTTGGGAGGCTGAGGCAGGAGGGTCACTGAGAGTTTGAGGCCAGCCTGGGCTACGTAGTGGGTTCATGGCCTGCCTGAACTACATAGCATGAGTCTATCTCAAAAAACCTCCATTAATTAGTTTCCCACAGTGTGCTGTTAACAAGAGTAGGTGGCAATCTTAATTATAGATACAGTAAGTCAAGTTAAAGTAATATGAAGTGTGTTGTCTTTAGGCTTACTGAGGTGCTGAGCATTAAATTAGTATAGTCACTTGTTTGACCAGATGCGCATTGAAGGAGTTTTAAATTCACAATGTGAAAGGGAATGAGCACTTATCAGAACAGAAGGAAATGTGTGGTCAAACGGTTTCAGCTATAACTGTAGACTGTTTCCCTTGGTCCAAGTGGAAGGAGAAATGGAACCTTGTACTCTGGGAGTTTGACGGGGGGTTACCCCCTCAGTAGAAGTAGAAATTAGTTTAGCATGATTTATTGAAACCCATAGCAAAAATGGTTGTGTTTAGCAGTGGAGGGGAATGACATAAGCATATAGTAGAAAGGTATAAATCCTGTAGTTTTTATTTTAGAGATGGCTCACAAGTAATTTATCTAGCATATTTATAAGTATTGGTAATTAGTTCTTATTAGACAGCCCTTAAAACAAGAAAATGAAAGATTCTTTGTGAGGAAACTGCTTAATTTTGTAAAGAAAAATGTGGTGCTTCCAGCTTTTTTCTCTGAGAAACTGGCTTACCAATTTCTGTAATTATATGAATAATAAAAATGTTTTTAGTGACAAGCACTTAGACTATCCAGAGAAAATACAAATTTGGTGTTCATAGTTTCTATCTGTATTATAATAAAATATTCACCTCAAGATGATTACATTAGTATCATCCTCTCTAGGTAGATCTTTAATTATGCTTGAGAACACTTACTTTGCTTTGCTTTGTCTTGTTTGGAATGAGGTTTTGCTGTGTTGCCCAGGCGGGTCTCCTATTCTTGAATTTAATTAATTAATTATTTGAATTTAAACACTCCTCTTCCCTCAGCCTCTTGAGTAGTTGGGATTACAAGCACAAGTGTGCACCACTAAGTCTAGCAGGAACAGTTATGCTTTTAGCCCATATGAGAATTAGATGTTCTCTAGCATATAAGATACTGTAAGTGTTGGATATTATTGATAAAGGAAGTCTGCTAATTTTCTCACTTAAAAGTATTCCTATTTATTAAGAATTCAAGATACTTGTTTTCTTTTGTTAAAGTTTTTATTAAGTTTTATTTTATTAATGTACCTAATTTCAGTAGTGGGTTGAAAAAACTATATTTGGAGTTAATTTATCAGTTTTTAGACACATGGTTGATATTACATGTAGTCAAACCCATGACCTTAAAAGTATTGTGTACTGTGTTTAAAAGGCTGTTAAATAATTCGAATTAAATTCCTTCTAAAAATCACTGCTTTGCCATGGATCATTTATGGGCCCGTAAGGACAAACTATATAATATCTAATGTTATATAGCAGTAAATTATTTTTTGATTTTTTTTTTTTTTTGGTGCTGGGAATCGAACTCAGGACCTTGTGCATGCCAGGCAAGCGCTTGTGCCACTGAGCTATAGCACCAGCCCAGCAGTAAATGTCTAATCAGTTGAGGGTCTTTGGTTAAAAGCAGTAAAAGTCAACTCTGGTTAACTTAGGTTTTAAAAAAAAAGCCTGCTGTGGTAGCAGTCAGCCTGAGGCAGAAGAATCAGTTTCAAGGCCAGTCTGAGCAACTTAATAAGATCCTGTTTCCTCTCAAAAAAAGAGAAAAAAAAATAGTATTGTCAAGGATCTATAACCATACCTTATAAAACTAAAAGGAAGTGCATGTACAAAGAAGAACTGAGGCCAGGGGATCCCCAGTTTGAGCCCAGCTTGAGCCCGCCTTGGGCAATTTAGTGACTTAGACACTATCTGAAAAAATTCTAATAGACTGAGGATGTAGCTTAGTTCAAAACCCCAATACTGGGAAATGAGGAAAGAACGAAGTGTAAGATCCTCACCTTGGTTAGTTGCAAAAGTTGAGGAAAGCAGTGCAAGCTCTCTTCAGAGGGTAGTGAGTTCCAGCTACTTTCCATCTTTATATCCTTCTAACCAAGATTCAGAACAAAGGACAAAGAATTTGATTCAGGACAAAGAATTTGACTGTCCTGGCTTCAGGTGAAAGAGCAAAGATACCCATTTAATTAAAACACTACATAACTACACACAATTTTTGTAAATCCTATAAAATGTCCTGTTAAACGTAACCTGGGCCAGGTGTGGTGGAACATGCCTCTAAAGTCAGCCCTTGCTGAGGCTGAGGCAGCATGATCATTGAGAGTTCAAGGCCATCCTAGGATATATAAGTGAACTCAAGTCTAGCCTGACCTGCATAATGAAACTCATCTCCAAAATATAAATAAAATAAACTGGGAGAATTGTGACTAGAAATGAAATCCTAGGAGCTGAGGATGTAGCTCCATAGTAGCGCACTTTTCCTAACATGCCTAAAACTGGGTTTAATCCTCAGGACCATAAAAGAAAATTCTAGTTTGGCAGATTGATTTATAGAATATATTCAGAGGATGTTGTTTATATGTGTGTATATGTGTACTTTCTATGATTTTAAATTTTATAGTTCATCTTTTTTAAAATAAAAACTGTGGGGTTGAAATAAGTAAGCTTAATCCTTTGATTTTCATGCACCTAATGGCTTTTTAATGGTTTGCATATCTCTTTTCTGTCTCAGGTGTATTTAAAGGCTCCCATGATTCTGAATGGAGTCTGTGTTATCTGGAAAGGCTGGATTGATCTCCAGAGACTGGATGGTATGGGCTGCCTGGAATTTGATGAAGAGCGAGCCCAGGTAGGGTGATACTGGGCTTTGCTGAGCCTGCTTGCTTTATGTAGCCTCTAATCTTGCCTTTTTCTGGGGACTAATTTTACATAGTCTTTAGGGGTAAATACAAAGTGTATTACAATCGGGTAATATGGAGGAATCCTGAAATATTGAAACCCACATTCTTGTCCTCATTTTTGGGAAGTTTTACCTTCAGTCTTTCTAAATTTCCTTGGATTTGCTTCATGGAGACTTAAAAGTCCAGTAATGTCTGCACCTGATCTTTAGAAGACTGTGAGAATAACAACACTTTTGGAATGCCTAAGTAAGGAGCTTAGCAAATCTCCTCCCCAAAAACCATTAGTAATCTGGGAAAGTATTCTTTAAAAAAATTAAAACATTCATTTAAGGTCTCTGGACATTAATCAAGTAATACAAATTGAGAGAAGCATTTATTCAGACAGAGCTGTTGAATTTTAGTAGGATCAGTGACAGTCTGTGTGTGGAATTCTAAAAGCCAGGAGCTGCTGCCCTCCTTTCCCCAGTTCTTTGGTCCCTCACTTTTTACACTAGGTAAGCTGTAAAGGCTGGTACGTCTGCTGTTCTGTTAGAGAAGACTGACTTTACTTAGGAACAGTTTGGTGAAAAAAATCCATGCCTGAGGCTAGTGTAGAAAACAATAAAGGTCTCATTGACAGTCTGATAAAGCTAATGTTGTAGGAAACAAAAAGGCAGTTCAGCCAGGATTTTATCAGGGAGATCTAGGGAAAGAGTTAACTAAAGTGGCTCTACTAAGAAGTATACATGTGGTCCAGAAACCTATGTGTAGGTGCAGGGCTATACCTGCTATAAAGAGAACATAGAGGAACTTTTTTTTTTTTTTTTTTTGGTTTTTCTCCGGTACCAGGAGCCGAACTCACAACCTTGCGCTTGCCAGGCAGCCGCTTTTGCCGCTGAGCTAAATCCCCAGCCCCAACATAGAGGATCTTTACAGGCTCATAGTCCCTAGATAAGCACAGAGTAATTGGTAGACTCCTTGAACTTTGAAAGCATTCTCTTGTGGCATCCACGGAACCAGTAGCAAAGGACAAAAGCCTACTGGCTCAAGATATTTAACAGAAGCTCTGGCCAAGCACTGGCTGACATGACAGCTAAGCTATGCTGACCCAGGAGTAGCCTCCCAAAAAGCAAGGCTTAAAAAGAAAAAGGAAAGGAAAAGCAACCTCAACTTAGCAGTGATTTCAGCAGCTAGTCAATGCAAGACACTAAACAAAAAGCTCCAAACAGCTTCATGCACAATACAGAATTGCTCTAGTATATTATTTGAAATTTCCAGTTATCAAAGAAAAATTATAAAACATGCAAACAAACATGAGAGTGTGATTCATAGACATAATAAAGAGCAGGCAGTACACAAGGCAAGCGTTCTACCACTGAGCTACACCCCCAGCCCTAGGAAATATCTTTGACAAAAAAAAAAGAAAGAAATAAACAGCTTCAGGCCGGGTGAGGTGGCACACGCCTGTAATCACAGCACTCGGGAGGCTGAGGCAGGAGGATCGGCGGAAGTTCAAGGTTAGCCTAAACTGCATAGTGAGACCCTATCTCAAAAAAACAAAAAAAAAAAAGAAAGAAAGGAAATATCTTTGAGAGGCCCAAATGTTGGTTCTGAAAGACAAAGTTTTCAAAGAAGTTACTTTAAATATGCTCAGAGAATTAAAGGAAATTGCTTTCCTTTAAATATTTAAGGAATTTATGATAACAGCTCTTCAAATAAAGAAAATCAATAGGTTTTGTTTTGGTTTGTTGCTTTGTCTTTTGTGGTACTGAGGATTAAATGTACAGCCTTGCACTGAACTACATCTCCAGCCCTATTCGTTATTTATATTGAGACAAGGTCTCACTAAACTACTAAGTTGCCCTGGCTGGGGTCAAAGTTGTGATCCTCCTGCCTCCTCCTCCATACCTGGCAAGAGGTCTAAATTATAAAAAGAATTAACTAGAGCAGAAAAGTACAATAACTGAAACAAAAAATTTAGATTCAACAACAGATATAAACAGGCAGAATAATTAGTGAACTTGAAGATATATTACTAAAAATTACCTGGCCTGAAGAACAGAAAGAAAAAAATGAGAAAAATAAAATCTCTGAGACCTGTGTGCTGGAACACCAGCACACATACTACTAATGTAATGAAAGTTCAGAAGGAGGGGAGGGAGAGAGGTCAAGAAATTATATTTTAAGAAATAATGAGAGCCAGGCATGGTGGGACATGTTGTAATCCCAGCACTTGGAGGCTGAGGCAGGAAGGTCAGCCTGGGTTGTATAGTAAGTTCAAGGCCAGCCTGAACTGCATAGCAAGACTCTGTGTCAAAAAAATAAAGCCAAGCCAGGTGTGATGGAGCATGCCTATAATTCTAGCACTTGGGAAGCTGAGGCCAGCCTGGGCTGCATAATGAGTTCAGGGCCAGCTTGAAATACATAAGGAGATCTTGCCTCAAAAAAAAAAAGAAATACTGAGATCACAACGAAACCCATTATACTGTCTAATTAATATGTGCTCATAATAAAAAGAATGAGGTAGGGCTTGGGAAAAAATAATGGGTTAAAAACTTCCAAATTCAATGTAAATATTATTCTGCATTATGCAGTAAACCCAGGGGACTCCAAGTAGGATAAACACAAAGAAATCCACACCTAGATGAATTATAATTAATCTGTTGAAGGACAGAGAAAATAACAGGAGCTGTAAGGACTCTTCATATATAAGGAAGTCACATGAGATTAACAACTGGCTCCTTTTTGAGACCATGGAGGCCTAAAAATAAGTGATGATATATTCAGAATGTTGGGAAAAAATGTTAAAAACCACATCCAAGTGTTACCGTCTTTTAATTAGCATTAATTTTCTTAATAAAGTTTAAAAATAATGACTAAAATAAAAAGGAGCTTCTTATTTCTTTTGTTGTCTTTTGCCGTATTTGTATCCATATATAGAGATACGAGAATTTTCTTATCAAAAGATCAAAAAAAGCAGGGTGTGATAGCACACTGTATAATTAGGAGGCTGAAGGCATTAGAGTCAAAAGCTCTAGGCCAGCCTGGGCAATTTAGCAAGACCCTGTCTTAAAATTAAAAAGTTAAAAAGGCTGAGGATATAACCTAGTGGAAGTGCACTTGCCTACCATTTGTGAGGCTGTAGGTTTAATCCCAAGTACCACAAAAATAAAAGGTAACAAAAAACAAAGCACTCCACAATTTAGCAAGACTCATTCTCAAAATAAGGTACTGGACTATAGCTCAATGCAAAGACCCTGGGTTCAATCCCGAATACCATAAATTGAATAAATTCATCTTCCTAGTAAAAAATTAAGATTCAAAGTTGAAATTTTGGGGGTTTGGTACTGGGAATCAGACCCATTATTCCTCTGCCACTGAGCGTCCCACACACACACCTTTGGTGCTAGGGCTCAAACCCAGGTCTTGCACATGCCAGACAAGTATTCTCCCCTGAGCTACTCCCCCATTCCTGTATCTTTGTTATTTTGAGACAGCTCCCTCACTTGCCCAAGTGGGCCTTGAACTTGCAGACCTGCATCATCTTGCCCAAAGCACTGGGATTTACAGCTGTATTCCACCACGTCTGCCTTCAAAGTTTGAAAGAATCCTTGCTATCCTGGTTTTGAAATTGGTAAAGAATCCTAACTCTCAGGAAAATAACAAGCCAAGTGTAGTGGTGCATACTTGTAATCCCAGCTCTCTAGGAGCCTCAGGCAGGAAGATTGCAAGTTCCAGCCCAGCCTAAGTAACTTGTCAACTTAGTGAGACCCCATCTCAAAAATAAATGAATGAATGAGAGCTGGGAATATAACTTGGTGTAAAGACCCTGAGTTCAAGACCCATTACAAAAGGGGGAGTAAAAGGAGCTCCATAAGTCCCCCGAGATGAAAAGACATCAGAATTGGACGGAAAGGCATGAAGCTGTCTTTATTTGCAGAATGTGCCTGTATTTAGAAAATCTGAAATAATCTATAAACTACTAGAAAAAGTAACATGAGTTTACAAGGTGTTGGATATAATACAAGGTCAGTACATTGTTGTAGTTCATATTCCCAATAAAGACAAAAGTGTTACTGCACCACAGCTTCCTCCTGCTCCATTCTGTAGGTGCATTGCAATCTTCACATCTAGTAGATGTGTTTTGCCTATTTTTTATACATTTGTATAAATATATGCACGTGGTATGTTCTGTTTTGTGCCCTCAATAAATTTGTGAAATTCATCCCCCCTGGGGTGTTTGCTCTATTTTTCATTTAGTATTTTTTTTCTTTGTGTGATCATGCACTATAAATTCTCCTGGATTGGGTTTGTTTGTTTGTTTGTTTGTTTTGAGACAGGGTCTCATAGTTCAGGCTGGCCTTGAGCTCATTATGTAGCCCAGGCTGGCCGTAAACTTGTAGTGATCCTCCTGCCTCAGCCTCCCAAGTAGTGGGAATTACAGGTGTGAGCCACCGTGCTCAGCTTTTGAGATGAGGTCCTACTGTGTTTCCCAGGCTGTCCTTGAACTCATCCTTTTCCCTCAGCCTCTGGAGTAACTGAGATTACAGGCATGTGCCACAGTGCCTCGGCGCTAAGTTCTACTGTTAATACCTGTTGCATTAGTTTCCAGCTTCTGACTATTACAAATAATATTATTTTAAATATACTAGTTACAGGGCCAGGGATATAGCTCAGTGGCACAGCACCTGCCTGGCAAACACAAGGTCCCGAGTTCAATTCCCAGTATGTACATACATAAGTACGTACATACATACATACATACACTAGTATATATATCGTGAGAGCTATGTGTGTTACATTCATTCCTATGATACACATGCCTTAGAGTAGGACTGCTAGCTTATGCCATTTTCCTGAATGTTATTCCAGGTTTACATAACCAGCACACCAGTTACCATGCCACGTCCTTACCAATGTCTGATTTATGTCTTTTTCATTTTAATCATTCTAATAGGTATGTGGTAATATCTTACTATGATTTTAATCCTTTCTCTGATAACAAGAGAAGTTATGAAGTACCAACTAAAAATCTTCCATCCATTTTTCTATTAGGCTCTCTGTGTTTTCTCTTCATGAAAATATTTTCTCAATGAAATGCAACTCTTTAGTTTCCCTACAAATGAAATTATTGCTGTGTATAATTATAGAAACTAAACTGTGTTTACTTGCACGGTATGGTGGTGCACCCCTGTAATCCCAGCACCCAGGAGGCTGAGGCAAGAGAATCACTGTGAGTTAAAGGCCATCCTGGACTATAAAATAACCTCAAGGCCAGCCTGAACTGCATAGTGAGACTCTGTCTCAAAAAGACATCCCCCCCCCCCAAAAATCAAAAAGATCAGAAAATAAAATAATATAAAATAAAATAAATTGTTTTTACTGATACTGTATTTTGGTAATTTTAGTTTCTTTAATTTGTAGGTGTGTTATTTTTACTTTTATTTGTAGGTGTGTAAATTTCAGTGTGTTCTTTTACACCCTTGGTTTTCTTTTTTTTTTTTTTTTTTTTTTTTTTTTTTTTTTTTTTTTTTTGAGACAAATCTTGCTATGTAGTTTACTCTGACCTCAAACTGTATAACCCATGCTGGCCTCGAACCTGTGGCAATCTTTCTGCCTCAGCTTCTTGAGTGCTGGGATTACAGGTAGGAGCCACACTTGGTTTTCAATAATGCAGTTCTCTAAAAGTTTAAAAAATGGAAACATTGGCATCTTACCATCAACTCCTTTGATAGGAAGTTTACAACTAATTTGAACAAAATGTAACTAATATATACTCATTTACTAGAAAGAGATCAATGCCACTGTAAGAACTAGGTTGGTTTTGCAGTAGCTCTTATTTGTAAGTTATATAACTATACACCATAAATGATTAGCAGGTATCTAATTTCTTTGAATAAAGTGTTGAATTATATGTATGCCAGAACTAGTTCCTAGTAAATTCTATTTTGTGTTTTTTGATTCAATGAGAATGTTATTTTTTTATACAAGGTATGTCCTACCAACATTTGTAGTTGTATTATCAACATAAGAGCTCATAATTTTAATCTTTATTGGTATACTTTCTAATTGACTTTTATTTTGGAAATCTCAAAAAAGTTGAGTTGAAATAAAAATTAAAGTTTTATTTCAGTGTAATTACTTTCAAAAATTTTATCTGGTTTCATGATTGGAGTAGAAAAATAGAAAAATTACTGGAATTAACAGATTTTATAGTTGAAGTATCTGATGCAAAATGGGTGTCCTTTAGCTATTTGTAAGATTTTTCTGTTAATGAAGCTAATCTATAAATAGCTTTGTTTTTTGTATGTGCATAAGAATGTGGATAAAATTAATTTTAGAATCATTTGGTTTGAATTGAAAGTTGTGTTCTGCAGTGATGAGTTAAATGTACCATTTGCAGCTGCAAATGTTAAATCACTGCCTTTAAAGTAGATACTGATACTTCAGCAGATTTCTTTTGGTTTTCATGTGAGAAGTGATATTCTGATCTCCACAGAGTAGAAAATGTCTGTATTTTGTTTTGGTTTGTAGAGTATGTGTGTGTGTGTGTTTGTGTGTAGAGTCAGTCAATACAAAGGTAAAATAACTATAGCAAGAATGGTCAGAATATTCTGTATGTGGTCTGTTAGGACTGTTAAACCTTTATTTTAGCCTCTCATTTTCCTCTATTGTACTTAATCACAGTTGATACTTTTATGTTGATTTGTTGACTTTATGTTCCATCTGCTTTATTGGACCAGATACCTCTAGTTTGTATAGTAAATTCTGAGAATGCAGTAGGTATGTGTAAGTGATGTTTATAGTCAAGTGTTTGAAGTTTATATATCCATAAATGCTTGTAAATAATAGCACTTATTAAGCCAGGCATGGTGGCGCACTCCTGTAATCCCAGCACTCAGAAGGCTGAGGCAGGATCGTTGCAAGTTCGAGACCAGCCTGGGCTACAGAGTGAGCTCAAGGCCAGCCTGAACGGCATAGTAAAACAATAGTGAGACTGCATAGTGAGACCCTGTCTCAAAAAGACAAAACAAAAAGCACTTATGTAATGCTATCAGGTGTTATGCTTACTAAGTACTTTTTATTGGTTGTTTAACCCTTACAAAGGTGTTTTTGTAAAGTATTACTGTGCCCATTTTACATGTGAGTTTACTGAAGCTTAGAGGTATGATACCCTTGTTCTTGGTTCTAAAGCTAGTATAAAAATGTTCTTTTTATTTTGTTTTTGTTTGGTTTGGGTTTTGTTTTGTATTTTTGTGGTGCTTGGGTTGGACCCATAGGCAAGGCAAGCACTCTTATCACTGAGCTACATTTTTAGCCCCAAGAATAGCAATTTAATTACGTCTTTCAGTTCTGTTTATGTTATAGACATTGTGTCACTGAAAACTGTGTATTTAAAAACTCTACTAACCACTGACCAAGGGTTTAGTGTATAGAGCAAAATATCCAGCAGTACACAGTTTAGGCCTGGAATAATTCTAATCTACCTCATAGGAAGCATAGAGACTCCGTCTTTTCATTTTCCTGCTGTGCCAGGCCCAGCAAATGACTACATCTTTTTTTTTTCTTTTTCTTTTTTTTTTTTTTTTTTTTGACATCTTTATTATGACTGCAGGATGACTGTTGCATCTCTGGGCGTTGCAGCAATTCTCAGAAAAAAGGGATGGTGAAATGTCTCTTAAATGATTTATCTTACAAGCCCCATTATAATCTCATTGCTTTAAAATCTCTCTGACAAACAGTAAGTCACATGTCAACCCTTTACAAAGTGATTCTAGGAAAGTGAATATTGATGTTTTTGGTATTGTTTTGGATCCTTTAGATTTTTAAGGGTACTGTTGAAAATCCTAGTACACATTCATAAGTGACTGCAAGCCAGGCATAGGGGTGCATGCCTGTAATCCTAGCTATTCAAAAAGCTGAGCCAGAATCACAGGTTCGAGGCCAGCCGTAGCAGTTTGGTGAGATTCTGTCTCAAAAAGCTGGAGGTACATAGCTATTGGTAGAATGCCGCTAGGTTCATTCCCCAGCACTGGAGAGGGAAAGAAAGATGAAGGAGAAAGAAGTATGTGACTGCAAAGATTGAAAATCCCTGTAGAGAGTGGGGGAGGTTTTTTTTGAGAGAGAATGTTGTAATCAGATTATGTTTTAGAAAATAGACACTGATAGTTGCAGTGAGTGGGTGGAGTAACAGCGGAAGATGATGAAAATGTTTATAGAAATATAGAGGAGACCAAAAAGCCCAAAATTACATAGATGGTCAGTGGATTAGAATTAAAGGTTATTGACTCTGGAGGCAAGGAGAGAGTGAAATGTCAAAGATGGCTCAGGTTCCTAGTAGAAAGGAATGAATGGTGGCACCAGCTGAGATTAATGAACACAGGTGAACACTTAAGAAGTAGTTTCCTTTATAGACAAAATGAGTCTGTTGGCATCTGGGTTCCTTCCTCTGTGGATCTTTAGTAACTAACTGGGAAAGGGTTAGGATAGATTTGTTACACGTTACAAATTTTTCCCTTTCCCTTAGAATTTTATTTGGTTTTTGTTGTTGTTGTTTGCAAATTTTCTAGCATTCACCAGTCAGTTTTGTTAATCTTCTCTTTAATGTTTATAGCTTTTGTGTAATAGAGAAGGTCTTTTTATCCCAACTCAGACATGTTTGTCAGGTTTTTTTGGAACTTCTGTGGTTTAAATATTGACTAAGGATTTTATATTGGTGAGAAGGATGCAATAAGGAAAAAAAAGTTTTCAATTTAGAATATGATAAAACATGACAACTAATTTGAAATTTCTCTTTTAAAAGCACACCCAAATTTTTAGTTTTGGGGTTTGTGAGGATTGATACTTCTAAATATTGCTGTTTCCTTCAGAAAATAAAACATCCCCAAATTTTAAATTTTATTATAAATCAAAATTAAAATAGGTATTTTATGTATTCTGACAGCAAGAGGATGCATTAGCACAACAGGCCTTTGAAGAGGCTCGGAGAAGGACTCGTGAATTTGAAGATAGAGACAGGTCTCACCGGGAGGAAATGGAGGTGAGAGTTTCACAGCTGCTGGCAGTAACTGGTTAGTACTTTCCCCAAAACTCTCAGGCTGTGTTTGTGATGTTTGTGCATAATGTCTTTTAATACTTTGATTTTATCTTGCACTTTAAAAAGTTGTACTTGGTTATTAGTTTGTATTTATTAAATGCAGTTGCTCTAAAGAAACTTACAATTCTAAGGTTGTATATGAACTCATTTATTGGTCTCCATAAAAGTCATTTACTACAAGGTATTTTTTTAATTCATTGATCCAAATATCTTACCTCTTTTTCTATTATTCTTTAAAATTAGTTGTAAAAGTTACCTTACGTTAAATGGAACATTATTAAAACATTATTTAGAACCTTTTTTTTCCTTTTTGAGACAGGCCCTTGCTATGTAGTTCAGGGTCTTGCTGCATAGTTGCAGTTCCAGCTCACTGTGTAGCCCAGGTTGCCCTCAAATTTGTGGCAATCCTGCCTCAGCCTCCCAAACGCTGGGATTACAGGCATGCACCACTACTCCCAGCTAGACACTGAAATTTAGTCTTACTGAGTTTTTAAGTTTGATGTCTTATTTTTTATAGAGCTGAGGTTTGAACCCAGGGGCTTCACATGCTAGGCAAGAGTACTTCCTCTAGCTATACCCCAGCCCTTTTTATTTTATTTTTGAGACAAGGTCTTGCTAAGTTACCCAGCTTGGTCTTAACTGCAATCTTCCTGCCTCAGACTTCCAAGTACCCAGGCTAAATTGGATGTCTTTTAATTAACATGTACATTTAATTTTTTTCTACATAAAATTGTACCCTACTTTAAAAATTAATATTTAACTAACATACAAATTGTTGAGATATACAGATTCTTTGAAAAGTGTATTCTTGCAAAAAATAAAAAACATACTCTTGCATGTGGGGATTGTATGCCTGTAATCTCAAGACTAAGAAGCTGAGGCAAGAGGATCATAGTAGTCAGTTTAAAGGCAGTGGATTCAGTCTCCAGAACTTCCAGGGAGTGGGATGGCTGCAGCATTAGCTTAGTGGCTGAGTACTCTTGGGTTCATCCTCAGTACCTCAAACACACTGTACTAGAACCAGGCACAGTGGTATAGACCTGTCATTCCAGTACTCTGAGAGGCTAAGGCAGAAGGATCCCAGTTGGAGCCCAACCTGGGCAATTCAGTGCTGTAGCAAGATCTTGTCATAAAATACAGAAAGTTTGGATATATAGCTCAATGCCAAGAGTTCAGTCCCCAGTGCCACCAAAGAAAAAGTGTACGAAAGGTAGTTACATTTTTTAACTACAGAAAGTAAAATGGTGGTTGCCAGGTGAAATGGGAATGGCTGCTTAATGGATATAGACTTTTATTTGTGCAAGATGAAAAGTGTTCTAGGGAGTAGTTATACAACAATGTAAATATAACACTATTGAACTGTGCACTTAAAACTTAAGATGGTAAGTTTTATGGTTATGTACTTTACAGTTAAAAAATTTAAACATCAGTGTTGCATAATACAGAACATTTGTTTTTAAGGACAAAGTTATATATACACTGTTATTTATAGTAACATAAAACGTGTTACACTTTTATGTGTACACAAAGAACGTGTACACAGAAAGTGGTTAAGAACCCAGGCGTGAGCTGCACTGAGAATCTGAGCGTGGCTATCCCACTTACTTTGTCAGCTTGTACAACTTCACCTTTCTGTGGCTGAGTTTCCTCATCTATAAAATAGGATAATTGTGACTATCTCATGGGTCATTGCAAGGATTAAATAGATTTCAAAGCACTTTACAATATGTGGCACCAAGTTATTGTTATTATTGTTTCCTTTTGTGTTGTTACAAGTATATCTATTCAGAATAAACTTAAAATCAAGCCTGTTTAATGTATTAGATAAAATTCATTATCTTTTAATGATTGATAAATCTCTTTGTCAGTAAGTTAATTTATCTAACAGCTGATAATAACTGAGAATGTCTCCAAGAGCATCTAGGAGAATAATACAGAAGGGATATGTATAACATTCTTTTTTTTCTTTAAAGCCTTCACAGTGCTTGTGATCAGGCTTCCATGCCATTTTCTTTCATTCTGTATTTATAAAGTTGATGTTTTTTAAATGTATGTTATAATACATGTGTTACCTTATACTTCTGACCCTTTTTGTTCATGCTATTTATACTTTGGTATATAAAATGTACTTTTCCACCTGTTCATCAAGGTGTGGCTTAAATATTTCAGGTCCTTCCCCAGTCCTCTTGATTATAATGAGCTCTTACACTTGGTAGTTTCCATAACACTTATTTCTGTTAGTATTAATGAAAACTATGTTGAAACAACTGCCCTCTGCTTTATTGAGATCCCGTGAGATGATTTTTGTGTCCTCCCACATTACTACCACAGTGTTTTTACATTGTGTTTAGTTGTTAACTACATGCACATCTTCAAAAGACAGCTTCTATCCTCTCTGTCTGTATCTTAGAATTACAGGACATCCTGTGGGATAAAGTAGGTAATATCTATTAATGATCTCTGTAGAAATTTTTAAAGTTTACAGTTTATTGGCTTATATTAAGTACTAAAGTAGTAAGTCCCAGTATGTTGTCCTGGATTCTGTATTATGGCCTGGAAGTACAGAGATAAAATGTGTGGTTTCTGGACTGAGTATAGTAGCACACACCTGCAGTCCCAGGGCTCAGGAGGCTGAGGCAAGAAGATCACCGTGAGTTCAAGGCCAACCTGAACTACATAGCAAGACCCTGTCTCAAAAAGCAAAAACAAACAAAATACATGGCTTCTGTCTTCGAGTATCTATGAGTTTTGAGGGAAAATGGATGTGTACACAAAGAAGTGTACTGTTCTTTTAGTAGCCACTATATATAATGAAGGCTTAAAGAGGGACAGTGGCCGTGTACAGAAAGGGGTGTGTAAGTCTGCCTCTGGTTGGGAGATTTAGCAGAAAGTACCCTTGGCAGGAATTTGTAGGAAGAGTGTGGTTTGCTAGCTGGACAGCTAGAGAAAGCTTTCTGGGCAGGAGCAGCAATGTGTGCAAAGACACAAAGGACTATGGGAGCTTACCCAAGTCGGAGAACATGGTCATTCTGGAACAAGCTAGGATGGCCTTAAAAGAATGTTATCGGAAGAATAACCGACAATGGAACTCTTACTTAGGATTTATATACATGTTTTACTTTGAGAATTAGAGATTAACTGACAAAAAATTGTCAGTTTTAAATTGTTTGATTCTTACAGTGTTGTTACTGAAAACATTTTGATGTGTGTTTATGTGTGTCTGTGAACAAAAATATAGCCTGTTGACAGAGGTGTCAAATAATTTATGTCTCATATAGATTGTTTCTATTCAGTTATTTGTCAGTGATGGAGAGTATGAGCTCTGTAGTCAAGTCTGGTTTGTGCTCCTGCTGCATCACTTGTCAGTCTCTCTTAAGCTCCAGTTTTTTCGTAGAATTTTTTGGAAGAATTAAATGGGAAAATGCTTGTAAAGCACTTAGCATGGTACTCAGTATGTGTATGCCTACAGTAAATAATAGTCCTAATGTACTTCTTGAGCACTAAAAGCCTATCACAGTGCTGGTTCCAGTTAATGGAATTATCTGGCTAACGAAAACATCCTTTTAGTTCTTTGAAGTATATCAGGGCTTTTTACCTGCATTAGACCTAGAGCACAGAGAAAACAGTTACATTTTCATCAATGATTTAAGACCCTGTAGTTCCTTCCAGCAGTAATTTGAAACATCAGTTTTCATAAAGAGCTGTCATGTAGGGATAGAGCTGGAATCTGTCTACAGAGCACACACAGGCAGTGATGTGCAGGGCTTCAAGGTTTGCATATCTTTAGCACTTTGTATACACATTTTGCTTCCTCGGTTGCTTTTTTTCTTTCAAATAGTTGTTTCTTACCCAGAAACACTTCTGGCATCAGCTTAGTTTCTTGCAGTTTGGCTCCTCATTTCTAAAAGAATAATGCAAGAAAATGTTTTCGTTCTGCAACTCAAACATCTTTGTGGATTTAAGCATTATCTAATCGTCATTTTTATTACAGTTGATGAGAATCCCAGAAAAATTGACTTGCTCTCTTCCAATAGTTGGTTAATGAAAGAAAAAGTGAGGACTTAAACCACAGTTTCCTAACTAGGAGGTCTCCACAAATATCGCCTAGCAGTTGGAAATTAGTTTCCACACCATCAGTAAAGATGATCAAGCTGAAAAGTAAAGTCTGCCAAAAGAAGTTAGAAACCATTTTGCCTGGAATAGAAAAAGCTGAGGCAGAAAAGAATAATATTGCTTCCAGTGGGTGGTCCCGATCCCTGACTGGGCCAGGGAACAGTGGTAACTCGTGGGTGGCAGGAACCCAGTAAATGGTCTTTGGAAGTCTGGGATTCTGGCAGCACAGAGGCTTAGGGATGTCTGCCACTGTTTGGATAACCTCTGAGACCTCTAGCCCTGCCATACTAAATTTAATGGTGAGCATTTAAAGTACATGTGAAATTAAGGTTCTGACTGTGGGAAGCAGAACTCCGTTTGGTTGGTGGCTCAAGAAGTTTGGATTTTCACAGTGTCTTTTAACCTGAAATGAGTTATAAAACTCCTTGGGCATTTGCCATGTGTAAAATTTTGAAAATTTTCTATTCATCATTCTTGGTGAGATTTAGCATATTCTTTCTCTCCCCCTTTTTTTTTTTTTTTTTTTTTTTTTGAAAGAAAAGGCTATGTTACTAGTACAATATTTTCTTTGACTTTCAGAGGTAATGGAAGATTATCATTAAATTGGCAAATGAAAGTCTATCATGAAGTGAAGAAACATTTATTTTAGTAACCCTGATGAAGCATTGTTAAATCACAGCTACAAAATAAAGTGTTATACAAAAGGGGTTTTTTAAAGGGTTTTTTGTTTTTGGTTTTGTTTTTGGTTTTTGGTTATTTTTCCAGAATCAGGAATCAAACTCACAACCTTGCACTTGCCAGGCAGGCGCTGTGCCGCTGAGCTAAACCCC